TAGCTTTATAATTATCAACGTGACTTTTTACAGCAAATTAAGAAAAGGTTAAATGCAAAATCATTACATCTAAAACTACTCTTCTCAGTCTACCACGCAGACAAACGTGTACACTTTATGATGCCAAAGTTCCGCTCCTCCTTCATTTCACATTACGAGTACGTGAATTACTGTGTCCTTCTAACTCCTGGAAGCAGTTATTCAGTCTATGGTAAGTTAGGGTATATGGTTTTCCACAGGATAAAAAAATGTTTAATGCTTCCCAAATACAGCCCTACGTCCTGCTTCCCTCACCACCACCTTCAAGCAGGCAAAAATAAGCCACAGAGCTTAAAGAACCATTCAAACGGGATAGATTTTTTATTGAGCCGTTACAAAGCAAAAAAGGCAAATCTTGTTTATCTTGTATTCATATCTCAACAAGGTTATCAACTACAAAAAATGTATAGAGTTACAGAATAAAAAATCATTACTGCTCGCAATATGCTAAGGTCTTAAGAGCGTGGATGTTGGGTTCAAGCCTGTGTTTTAGCTGCTTGCCTTTGGATCGGCTTCTAAACCACTCTAAACCGCAGGTTTCTCATTTGTAAAATAGAGACAAAGTAGTAACTAGCACTTATGGAAAGATAAAATGGCTGTGAGAGGAGCACGTGCGGTGACGCACACGAGGCCGAACGTGATGGCTGAGCGAGGCAGGAAGTCCCGCGGGAACCACTGTCAGGACCAGACTCCGTGGGACAGCAGCCACGCTGTTACCGTTCTCATCATCCTTTACTAGAATTACAACTACCTTACAATGCATACTTCAGTACATCTTTGCAAATCTACCCAGCACATTTGAGAGAAAAAGCAACTCCAGAATGTTTGGGGGCTTTGGGGTGTGGGGTCTTTAGAAAAAGAAATGACTACAAAGGTAAGAATCTACTCTGGGGTTTATTTCTATTTTTCACATGTTTCACGGCTTACTACGAACTGAGTGGGAAGACTGAATAACTGAGAGCAACTCAAAAAGTTTCCAAAGGGCAAAAGCCGAAGATCCTTTTGTCCTGATCTATTCATGCTCGCCCACCTTCTCTAACTGAACCCAGCCACACTGTCCTTTCAGTGCTTACGTTCAGCCATACAGAGGTGGAAGCCTGGGCAATGAAAAGCCACGAATGGAAGGGCATCCACATTTACTTAGAAGACAATAAAGGCTTTACTAAGTTCTTAAGGATTTGTGTCCCAAAAGATACGTAAATACAAGTTCTAAAGATCCCAACACAGAAGATGAAAGGAAGAAAACTAAGAGTCCCAGAAAACGGACAAAACAAACACCAATCATACAAAAAGAACTGTGACTTTGAAAACAACTAACCTGTTCTTAAGAGAGGAACTGCTGATTCCAGAACAGAGACACAGAACTGGGGAAGACTGAGCTGGAGGAATGGCAGCTCCAGCGCATCTTCGGTCTCCAGCTCCGGCAGGTCTATGTGCACCACGTCCACAGGTGAAGGCACAGATACCCTGGAGTTGACAGGAGCATGACTCCCGCTCCCACTGGAAAGTAAACAAACGACAGTCCTTGAGTATGGAAACGGCCACAAAGAGCTGTACCGCCTATCTGCTGTCTGGCACATTAAAAGCCCCACGCTGGACATAACCATACTGCCTCACGCAACAACTGTGCTCAGATCTGTGAAACCTTGACAAATTTATGAGACTAAACTCCATAAAGATGGCTCAAATCGTAAGCGAAACCAAAAACGCATTTATATATATTGCTTTTCAAAAGGGATGGTCTCAGAATTCCTGTAGTAGCAGTCAACATGAGCACTAAGAACCTGTTCATTTCTACAGAAGAGCAAGCCAATTCAGAGCAAAGTTCTTCTGTAATCAACTTATAGAGGCAAAACTGAATCATTTACATAGTTTCCTAGATTTTCTGTGATTTTCACCAAATGTTCTAAGTGAGCCAATGTTCACAACCGGAGAATGCTAGAAAATGCCAGAAAAATATGAGGAGAAATGAATGACTTCATTTAGTGCACTCAACATCACGTAATGATTTTGAAAATGTACCAAAGAGCAGAACATCCCACCTTTCTTGGCTTTCTTCATTAAAAATTCCTACCTTAGATGTAAAGTGATGGCGTGGGGATAAAGTGCTATATTTTTTTTTTAATTTTTTTTTTTTTAACGTTTATTTATTTTTGAGACAGAGAGAGACAAAGCATGAACGGGGGAGGGTCAGAGAGAGGGAGACACAGAATCTGAAACGGGCTCCAGGCTCTGAGCTGTCAGCACAGAGCCCGATGCGGGGCTCGAACTCACGGACCGCGAGATCATGACCTGAGCTGAAGTCGGCCGCCCAACCGACTGAGCCACCCAGGCGCCCCAATAAAGTGCTATAGAAAGGCCTGAACCTCACAATTACCAAGGACCTCAAATTTTTGACTTTTAATGTTATCCACAATCGAAGCTGAACCACAGATACACTAATGCTGTTGAGCACGTAAAACTCCCAAAATCTATGTTTTGCCATTTGTTCAATTTCAACATCCCAAAATATGAAAATGAGGTGGGCTTCTCTCTAAGTCTCAAAGGCCCCTTGAGGAAGGTGTTCACTCAGGAGCGAAAATTCAGAAGCATTAGATATAGCACACTAGATACAGCTTAGAGAATGAGGCAGACAGGCTCTGGAAGAGTAACGAGAAAAGCCGTGCCTGACCAACACCAGCTCCTACGGAAGGGTCAGGAGCACAGGCTCTCAGATCATACTGTCTACACCCCTGCCCTCTCACCAACTGTATGAGCTGGGGTAAGGCTCCCTGCACCTCCGAACCAGGCTTTCCTGTACAAGGATGATGATACCAATGCTATCATAGGACCCGGAGGACAACGGAAGGCCATGAAGCACGTACGGCACTCGGGGTAACACCAAGCACGCAGCCAGCATCAGTCAGTGTCAGTTGGTGGCAGCAGCATCGTGAGAAAATAATGACGCCAACAGACAAGCGTTCATCTCACTGAGCATTTATTAGAACGACACCAAAGAGACTAACATGTTTATAAGATGCTTGTGGCATAAGAATGAGCTAACACACAAACACCACGCCAGCCCCTTTAAGCAAAGCTGATGTGTAGAAATCTGTATTTACACAAATGAGTAAAATACCATAAATTGTGCACTTTAAAGGAACTTTCCTTTATAGTCTCCAATCATTCCCTTTAATAGTAAATACTGATACACCCAAATTATGATTAGAGGGGCACCTGGGTGGCTCAGACAGTTAAATGCCCAACTCTTGGTTCCAGCTCAGGTCATGATGTGGTTCATGAGTTCGAGCCCCACGTCAGGCTCCGTGCTGATGGTGTGGAACCTGCTTGGGATATTCTTTGTCTCTCCCTCTCTCTCTGCCCCTCCCCTGCTCACTCGTCTTGCTCTCAAAATAAGTAAATAAACTTTCAAAAATCTTTTAAAACTTACGGTTAGAGTCACAAATATGGGTTTAAAATATTACCAAAGAGGCACCTGGGTGGCTCAGTCAGTTAAGCGTCCAACTCTTGATTCTGGCTCAGGTCTGGATCAGACACAAGAGATTGAGCCCCACGATGGGCTCTGCTCTGAGCGTGAAGCCTGTTTTACATTCTCCCTCTCTCCTTCTCCCGCCTCCCCCTCCCTCTCCCTCTCACACACGTGTGCCCTCTCTCTCAAAATAAATAAAACATTTAAAAAAATTAAATCTTACCAAAATGTACCTATCATTTAAAGCTATGCTTTTAAACTAGATCACATTTCATCTACGGCTAATAAAAACAATTAAATGGGCCAGAATCCTCATTCTTTTTCTAATGAAATAGAAAGGAAGAGAAAATATAGCTCACTATGTAGCATATGGAATCAAAGTACTATTTTGTGAACATCTTGTTTTGGCAGGGACACACACACAGACACACACACAGGGAAACATACACACACACAGAGAAACATACACACATGCACATACATATAGAGCATACGTCTGTGTACTGAGTATTGAGTTGCCTGTAATATTATTTCGTACTACGGGTCATGGTCAAAAAACTATGAAAACCACTAGTTTAACACAAGGCCAATACCTGTGGTAATTTTCCAAGAGAGAAGACAGAGAAAAACGTTAATCTCCCTCTCAAAGTAAAATACACACACACAAGTTAACTGGGCTTTTCAACAGTCACCTGGAAGACACTGCGTCCCAATCCTGACCGTCTCCCCTGGGTCGCTGACCTGTGCGTCCAACCACAGAAGGCCGGGGGCTACTGCTTCCTGGAGAAGGATTCTGGGAATGATGAATAACTCTAGCTTCATGACAATAAGACAAAGAAGAATTTTGGGAAACTGTATCTGAGAGGAAAAAAGAAAAAAATTATCTCTCAGTAGAGACAAATTATGATTATGAATAATTTACATCATTCTTTCAAAAAACAGTAACAAAGTTAAAATAGTAGAAATGCTTCTCTTGGGGTAAAAGTAAAGGTCAACCTTTTCTGCAAGTATTCACTTAGCATTTGCATCTAACATTAGGTGTACCTCTAACTGGCCTGATTACATGCAGCCTTCTAGCCGGCATTACTGACTTGGAACATTTGGGACCACCAAGGCAAAACAGCAGATTAGGCACATCCCTGCTCATAACTCCACAAGAAACCCTACCTCAAACCACATGCAAAAATTAGCTCAAAATGGATCAACAACCTAAATATGAGAGTTGAAATTATAAAGCTCTTAGCAGAAAATATAGAGGTAAATCTTCATCACCTTAGATTTGGCAACGGATCTTTAGATCTGAAACCAAAGTACAACCAAAGAAAATACAGATAAATCGGACTTCATCAAAATCAAAGGACATTATAAAGAAACTGACAACTTACAGACTGGGAAAAAATATTTGCAAATCATATATCTAAAAAGGATTTAGTAACCAGGATTATAAAGAGCTTCTAAAACAACAATAAAAAAAAAAAAAACCCAATTTAAAAATGGACAAAGAACTTTAAAAGACATTTCTCCAAAGAAGATATACAAATGGCCAATAAGTGCATAAAAAGTCACTAGGAAAATCCCTAGTCATTAGTCAGGAGTCTTTACCAGAACCACAGTGAAATACCAGTTCATATCTACTAGGAAGACTAGGATTTTAAAAAGGGAAAATAACTGAGTGTTAGCAACATATAGAGAAACTGGAAGCCTCACAGGTTATGGTGGGGATATACAATGGGGCAGCTATTGGGGAAAACAGTTTGGTGGCTCCTCAGAGAGCTGAAGGTGAAATTAACATATGACCCAGCAATTCCACTCTTAGGTATACACCCGACAGAACTGAAAACAGGGGTTCAAAGAGATATGCCTATGTTCACGGACACATTATTCACAACAGCCAAAACATGAGGACCACTCCCGGGTCCAGCAACAGATAAATGTATAAACAAATGTGGTGTATACAGAAAAAAGAATGAAATTCTGACACAGCTACAATACAGAAGAACCTTGGAAGCATCATGCTAAGTGAAATAAACCAGACCCAAAAGGACAAATATTGTATGATTCCACTTGTATGAGATACCAAGAACAGACAACTTTAGAAACAGAATGTAGAGAGGTTACCAGGGGCTGCAGAGGGAAGGGGACACGGGAATAGGGCTAAATGGTCACAGATCTTCTATTTAGGGTGATGAAAAACATTTGAGAACAGAAAATGGTGATGGGTGCATAAGATGGTGATGGGTGTGAATGTAATAATGCCAACAAAATTGCACATTTTAAAATGGTTATAATGGCTTGTGCTACATATTTTACCATAATTTTTTAAAGGAATTAAGAAAAATAAAGGCATTTTCAGAAGGAGAAAAAAAAAAAGCTCTCTGAGAGCTTCTCACCGCACTTCAAAGAAAATATGAAATCCTTACCAAGATCTACAAGTCCCAATACAGTCAGCCCCTAGCTACGTCTGTTCTCACTTCATTTCCCTCTCTGCTCCCCACTCCACATTTACTACATTCCAGTCACATGTCTGCCTTTTTTCTGTTCCTCCATAATATCACCTGCCAAGGCCTCCGACCTACCAGGAATACAGTTCCTGCAGCTCTTCAAGGGGATGGTTCCTTCTCGCCCCTCAGGTCACCTCCTCTGAGGGGCCTTTCCCACCCATCCTATCCAGGTAAGCCTCATTTCCCCTGTCATTTGCAGTCACATCACCCTATTTCCTTTGAGCATTTCTGATCCGAAACAAACTTGTTTGCTTGTTTATTACCTGTCCCCAACCTTCTCAAGGATGAGCTCAGAAGGGTGGGGACCTTATCTGTTTTGTTCAGTGTTATACCCCCTAGAGACTAGAATATCAGTCAGCATATAGTTGGTGATAAATAAAAATTTAATACATGAGTAAATCTTCAAAGATAATACTTTTATCAATATTATAACTCTTATTCTGATGAAATATGGGGTATCACAAGCTCTCTGCTATCAGTCATTTGCAAAATGCTGTATCTCAAGAATGTTAATGAGGAACCCTATACCCTCTGAGACCTATAGTAAAGCTAATGTATAGCATAAGTATTCAAGTAGCATAGGATCAGCGAAACTCTGAACAGAATTGGGATTAACTGTGAAGCATGATGACAAATCATTGTAATTTAGTATTCAACTTTCAATGCACATGGCATAAGTGCACAGAATTTCTAAGCTGTAAATACTGCTTTGACAAAGCCAGCCGAGTGCTCTAGTTGGCCATTAGGTGGTGCTTTTTCCCTTAAAAGTCTGGCACTACTATCATATTATAAATACTCTAACTACATCACAAGCCGCATAAAAAGTTTTCATAAAATACAAATCAGGAGCACCTGGATGGCTCAGTTGGTACAGGATGCAACTTTTGATCTCGAGGTTGTGAGTTCAAGCCCTATGTTGGGTGGAGAGGTTACTTAAAAATAAATAAATAGGGCGCCTGGGTGGCGCAGTCGGTTGAGCGTCCGACTTCAGCCAGGTCACGATCTCGCAGTCCGTGAGTTCGAGCCCCGTGTCAGGCTCTGGGCTGATGGCTCAGAGCCTGGAGCCTGTTTCCGATTCTGTGTCTCCCTCTCTCTCTGCCCCTCCCCCATTCATGCTCTGTCTCTCTCTGTCCCAAAAATAAATAAATGTTGGGAAAAAAAAAATTTTAAATAAAAATAAATAAATAAATAAATAAACATAAAATACACCCAAAAGTTAAAAAAATATATTTATTAAAAAAATATAAATTGTTATTTTTTTAAACCAATCTATTAATACAACAAGTAACTTCTAAAATGCCCAAGGTCCCACATAAATAGTTGAACTCAGAATTCTAACCCCTGGCTCCCAACATCAGTATATGCCTAAGAGAAAAGAAAAAAATCTTGCAAATGGTTCTTATCAAAAAAAAAAAAAAAAAAAAAAAAAAAGGACAGGATCATGAGTGGTTCTCTCACTCACACGATTGGTTTTCAAGTGATTATCTGATTGCATTTAGGAATGAGGAGTTTATGCTGTGAATATTTACACAGTAAGAATAATAGAAACTTCTCAGAAGAATCTGCAAATACCACCAGTGACTAATGAATAAATAAACATAAATACCTTGTTTACTAGAGAAAAAACCTGGATCACGGTGAAAGTTCAGTCTGTTTCTTAAATACACGCACAGCTGCTGCAAACAGGACACGGACTGTAAGGCCAGGCGATGCTTTCCGTCTCCTCCAAAGGCCAGTTTCAACAGAGATAAAAGGCTCTGAAATATGATGAATGAAATGAATGAAAATGATCAATGAAAGTGGGTGTGGAGTTTAAGTAAGGTTAAATGAACAACCAAAGGAAAGAAAATAACTTGTAAAATATTTGTAAGACATAAGAAACGGAAATAGGCAAAAATGACTTAGCAATGGGACAAAGCGAGACAATAAAATTTAAAAAGAGTGCGCGTGTGTTACATCTAAAGTGTGTAGGTTGAGTACCTATTCTGGGAGAACATGAATTACTCCCCACTCAGGACGTAAGTTACAAAGTAGTTTTTAAAAATAACAGCAAGCCTTCAGCATCTCAAACAGCTAAATCATCTTGCCACGTTTTGGCAGCTAACAGCTTTCCTCTCCTCTGCTGCCTTCTGACAACTGCCATTGTCACACTGTGTCTTCATACTTACCATTCAGGGGCCTCCATTCAGCCCTGTGATTACGGAGCGAGGGTGCTGAGGCATCACTAGCTGCTGCAGATAGGCCACAACCCTAGACCCCACATCTCAAGCTCTACCATATAAACTACAGAATCTATCTGAATTGCTCATTGCCCTATTTCCCCGGCATCCAGCCCTGTGCCTTAGACATCCTACATATTCAAAAAACAATGCTATTCTTAGATGAAGAATGGTTACTGCTGCCCAACTTCAATTTCCAAAGTCTATTCTCCCCTTATGCAACCCATAAAAGGTATATTCAAGGTGGTCAAACTGGACTTACTTGTGTGTGTCAAAAGAGACCACCTCTGATCAAAAGAACTACCACTACCCAAAGAAGAGCACAAGTGGTTTCAGTAACCAAACACTTCATTTTGTAAATATAATACTGCACACTCCTTCCCAAGGACTCCTACTTTGCAAAATCTGTTTCACTGTAAAGAAGTTCTCTATTTCAAAATCTACAACAATTACAGAGGATTCGTACCTGAACAATTTTTGGCCTTTGAAGAAAAATTTCAGCAGGAAAATCTTGCATGATAACATCCTTCAATAGTTCACAGGTATTCCAGATTAAAGTGTGGTTACTACTTCTTAAAGAGCTACAAAAAGATAGCATTATTTATTTTTAAAAAGAGCTTATCTGTACCAGATTCCAAGTAACCTAGTAGCGTAATGACTCTACTAACAGTCCTTCAGGTCTCAATTGAGACTTCACTTCCCTGGGCAGCCTTCCTAGATCTACTCCGTAATCAAGAACTCTAGGAGAGGTCCTTCTTCCATATGCCTATATTCGGTGCAACAGCAATTGCCTGTTGACTTTCTAACCCCCACTAGAGCCTCCTCGACAACAGGCACTACACAGTATCCACCACAGTATGCCAAGATAATCACAATGCTATAAATGAGATCAATGAAGTCAAAGGGCACAGAATGCAATGAAATTCGCTAAATGAATTAGGAAGTAACACAGAAAAAATAACAGGAAATGTAGAGTTAAATTCTAGAAATTAGATTTATTACTGCTCTTCCCCAAGCTAGTGAGTCAAGCTGGGATTCCCCTCCTACCGCAAACAGAGGACACCCCTCACCTTCTCAGACAATATGTGACCCCCTAAGGATATAGCAGAATCCACACGCCCCCTCTCAGCCCAGCTCCAGCCCACCATCCACCACCCAGAGGGGTGTATTAGAAACTGTGTCTCTTCCTGGGGGCCCAACTCAGACCCCCTGCCCCTTTCCTACATGTACCCCACCTCTTCAATATGTTATTCCAAGAGAATTTACTGATGCCTTGGGAGTGCCAGCATCAAAAAGCATTTAACAGCCTGTAGCTGCTTATCTCATCCTAATTCTAGCACATTGGTCTTTCTACTGCCCACTGAATATACTGTCCCCTAAAAAAGACTGCATTTATGCTTAATTTTTTCCATTTTTATTAACCAAGGGCATAAGCTTTGGCCAATCAATCTGGTCAATAAGAGATGACTCATATGTCACCAAGAAGTATACATGTCTCCAATCACGAAAAAAACAAACAAACAAAACCAACAACTAGATGTGTAGCCTGATAACAGCAAATAGGAATTTTCTAAATTGCTCTTTGAAACAGTGAAAATCATTCATATACTCCCAGTACTGCCTTTCACAGACACTTAGTATCTTTTTTCCTGGTGAAAATGTATGATAATAACAACCAGATGTAATGGCTATCAATGAACCAAAATGCCTGACAATGCCAGGCACCGTACCTTTCATTAGAGGAGAGAACATGTCTATCTGTTGTAGTCAGGGGGAGCCAGGGAAATGTAGAAAACTTCAAACACTTCACAGTCTGATTTACTGTTAATGGAACAGCAAAATTTAAGGGATCAAAGACAAGTTGATAGACTCCCAATGTTAAGAGCAAGGCTTTACCCTTAAAACAAGTCTTCAAAGTTACATCTTACAGTAACCTAAAATATACTAAACAAGGTCAGCTGCAAATTTGTTCCCTAACGGGATAAATAACAGAGCTGTTTTCATATCGTACACAAAACTGTTATTAGAAGAGCATTAAATACAAACCAATACTGAATGACATTTAGAATTTGAATTACATTTTCTATTGTACCCTGTGGCTAACCAAAACACAGAGCTTAAATTTAACATGAAAGGAACTGGCATTTGGAGGCCTTTAATTGTAGAACTTAAAAATGAAATAGACATAATCATATAGTATATTTAAAAATTAGGCATGTTCAAATATCCTTCATGGTGTTAGATGTTTAAGCCTCTTTGAAGACGACTTAAAGACCGTAAGGTTGAAGATCAAATATCAGCACTCAAACCAGATTAAAAGAAATCTGAGAAACCAACACAATTTTAAACTACCCCATTGAAATTATGTTTTAAATAAATCTTATATTGTACAAATTAAGGTGGCAAAGCTGAGAACCAGTATGCAGTATCTACGGAAACCCTTCCAAGTGGCAAACAGTCTTTCCGCCAAATGCTCTGAAAAGAGCACGGAATCACTGAATTTAGATAACAGTATTATTAAATTCCCAAATATAGCACAGTTGCTTCTTTCAAAAGTGCCAACACACAAGCAGGGTTTACTTTTTCACAGAAAAGTAAGAGGGGGGTGGAGGGAAGGACGGACCTCTACTGCACACAAAAAAATGGATCCAAAATAAGCCCCTATCATTAACCCACAAACTGCAACTCACATAGCATTTTACCATCTCAATGGTCCCTAACGTTTTTAGCAGCTGCACTCGAGGTCCCACCTTCTCAGCCCTGGACACACTCTCTCCCTTCAGATGTCTCTCCCTGTCACTCAGTGAAGCCTCTAAATCACAAACACAAAGAAACTACCATCTCAAAACCAAAGCTCCCTCACAAGCCTAATAAAACTTTCACAGAAAGAAAAGGTAAAGTATTTTAACAGCTAAACAAGTTTTCAGTTCTTTCTTATGCTGTTATTCAACCAGAGTTTCTATGAAAGGCTTTTAATAACAGACGGCTTCCAAACTGAGTTAAATGAAATACTTGACATGAACAGATATACCCTTGGACACAACGTTTTCTTTTCAACTATGCAGGCAATAAAATGTCAGGTACGTGCTCACTTAATTATTCCCTAAGTGCATCAACTGGAACAAAGGTTTTATCCTTTCCAAGCCTCAGTGCCTTCATCATTAAAATGGGGATATTAACAATATCAATTTCCCCGGGACCTGCTGAAGATTCATTCGTTCACTCAAAGAATATATACTGAGCACCTACTATGCTTTTGCATTGTTTTGCACACTGGGGATAAGCAATGTTCAGAGCTATCATTAAGCTTACAACAAGGAAGACAAAGAAGAGGTAAATTAGTATGTGATTTCAGACGATCTTTGTTAGAAAACTAAACGTAGGTAGAAAGTGATCACTTGGGTCCTCAGGAAGGCCTCTCTGAAAAGGCGACACGTGAGCAGAGACTCAGCCAGACATCCAAAGACCTGGATGAGATTCCAGGGAGAGAGAGACTCTAAATCAGAGTTCTTCTTCTATCAGCTGGTCGCTGGGATAAAGACAAATGAAGAAACCAAAATGATCCTGAGTCTTTGGCTTGAGTAACTGGATGAACAGTACCACTTGGTGAGCTGGAGAATAAACAGGACGCATACACAGCGCGCGGCACAGTTCCCAACAAAGAATTTGTGTTCAGTAAGCACTGAGTATTTCTGCCACCATCACCACCCACCTAAATACAGCTGCTCAAATGCAGTTAGAATAATGTAAAATTTCACCACCTAGACACTACATCCTAATTTGAGGAAACTGAAACATTCAAGCTTGACCACAACATTAGGAAAAGTACATTAATTTCTGATTTACCAGGTCAACAGGATCTATCCCTCTACATATACACACCCATTGGTCGTGGAGACACTTCCGTCTGCTGGAAATTACTTTTGTCTTGAGGAAAATATCCTATTAAGATTTCAGGTTGTTGTGGCAATTCTGATAAAAAAAATATATATTACTGTATTATTGATTCCTTATTTGCTAAAAGCAAAACTTACTCTTTTCAAATATTAGTGTTTTCTCTTAAGTTTTTTAATCATTTTAAAAACTGGAAAAATAACAGGGTTTTTTATCCTTTGAATAGTCTTCCTATAGAGGAAAAAAATGTAAATGTTGAGTCAGTTTTGAATTGAGGGGAGGGTGTTCCCCTCTTTTGTGGTTCAGCAAATACTACTCCTTAGATGGCACAATGTACATAAAGAATCTGTTACAAAGTATTTATTCAAGGGCTCATCTCTGCTTCTTAGTCCATCCCCCTCCTCTCTCTTCCTGCAATTATGTAGTTCCTGACCACTTCAACTTTCATTAATATCTTTAAAGAAAAAGTCGTCAAAAATAAAGGAGTCAAGCACTCATTCAACATCTTTGACGATCAATCCTCTGTCACATGTGATTGCACGTGCAGCAATACAGTTGGAATGGGAATGGGAATAAGGAAAAGACTAAAACTAATTTTGTAACTGTGCTTGAAGTTTTCATGCCAGGATTTCCTAATCTTAATACAGATAACAAAAAATTAGCCCTAGACCATACATCTGATCTCCCCTGCGGGGAACTAGGTTGAAAAGACATGGTTTAAGATTCTACTTTATTGGTTTTGGCTTAGGCAGAAATTTTCACTGTTAAAAATCGCAACCACACAAGAACCCAGTAAACGGAGGCTCCTATTATTTTCTCGTTAACAGCAGCACCGACGATCTCAGCAGTAGCGACACAGCACAGATACAGAGAAAAATATGATCTAACAGATTAAGCAAGCAAAAACACATTTTTAAATACTTTTACTACTCAATCACATAAATCTCAGGAGCATTTTTTTTTCCTTCAAATCAATTTAACTGCTTTCCAGGTACAAGGCACTCTACTGGGAATTAAATCACAAGAGCAACCAACAATTCTGTGCTTAGTACATGTCAGGCCCTATGCCGAGCACTTTACAGCACTGTCTCATTTAATCCTCATGACAATTCGATACGGTATTCTTTCTTATTGTCCCAGTTTTTGGATGAGAAAACTAAAACCTAGAGGGATTAAGTATTATAGCCAAGGTCACAAAACTACTGGAAGAAGTGGGATTTACATTCATGTCTGTCTGACTCTGATTTTAACAGTGTACTATGTATAGCTCATTTTAACTGGAGACCCCATAACAAAACCATGAGCTAGGACATATATCATCCTACCCCTATGTGAGGAACACAGTCCAAGAATGCAAGTATAAAACATTCAGAACAATGTCTGGCACATGGTAATGAGGGCTCAGCGAAAACGTTGTTATTGTTGAAGAAATAATCTGTCCCACAAAAAAAAAAGAAAAAAAAAAAATCACTGGCAAGTTTTAGGCCCCTTGACCAAAATAAGCAATAAATACAAATGCATTCTCCTCTGAATAACAGCAGAGGAGGGGAAAAGGTCAAACTCATGTAAATTAATGCAATAAAAATAAGTTGAGGAGGGAAGGGTTGTTTTTTTTTAACCTAAGATCCCTTTCCTTAGAATTAACCACAAGAACCAATATATTTCTATTTTAGCAGAATGCATCCAGATTGATTCCAAAGAGTTACCAGTTTGTTTGGTTTGGTAAGATGCAGAGTATAGGGCAGGATCATCTGAAGGAAGAATAAAAAGTCCGTCCAGAATGCCATCAATTTCACCCTGTAGATTCGGCTCCACATTAGAACGAAGTTTAGATAAGAATTCAACTGCACCAAGGTCAACCAAATGCTTGACTGCTGGGGGATACTGAAATAAGAAGAATCACATATGTCAAAACTTCTACACTTTATCTGACAGCAACTAAACCAGGAAATTATTTTTAGTATGCTAGATGTTCCTTTTGCAAAAAATAAACCTTGCATTGATGTACCCAAAAGTAAAGAACTTCCATGAGTAGGACACAGATTTATAGAGACATACGTAAACCATGCGATGACACTTACAAAAGAAAAGCCCAGACACTGACACTAGAAATGCACACTGCCAACTCCTACTTTTATTTATTAAATGGATTACCTCTCTCAACTGACTCCCACCCCATCCTCTCCTACCTCCAACCATCAAAAGATGCCAAAGTAATAATGTCCTATGACTGCACACTGACTTACAGTTTCAAAACCTTAGACTTGCCCTTTGACATCTGACCCTGACAACTGCTCTCAAGACAGGCTGAGGGGCACCTGGGTGGTTCAGTCAGTTAAGTGTCCGACTTCGGCCTTCGGCTCAAGTCATGATCTCATGGTCTGTGAGTCTGAGCCCCAGTCGGGCTCTGTGCTGACAGCTCACAGCCTGGAGCCTGCTTTGTATTCTGTGTCTCCCTCTCCGTCTGCCCCTCCCCAACCTGCGCTGTCCCTTTGTCTCAAAAATAAGTAAACACTAAAAAAAAATTTAATAAAAAATAGTTTTCAAAAAAAGACAGGCTGAGGAACATAAAATCTGAAAATCAGATATGGAAAACGCAATTTCAGATACTTGAGGTATTCATTAACCATGGTAACATTAACTTTAAACATATTCTCTTTCAGACACATCTAATCTTTAACATGTAAATAACAGAACACAGGGAAAACGAGAATAACAAATGGCAATTTCCAAAGATGATTCCAAAATTCAGAACACACCAGAACCCAGAAGTTCTATTATTCCGGAGCACAACAGATACAATGTGAGACTCAACATTACACATAAAAGGACGCTGAGCGTGATACACCCAGACGACCATCTCTGGTTGTTCCAAAAATAAAAAATAAAAACAAAAATGCTACAAATTAAGCAACACTCACTCGTCTGATTTTATTTCAAAATGATCCTACCTTAACCAATCTGCTCAACAGGCTGAGAACCTCTTCTTTCATTGGAACAGACGGGAAATTGAACCATTCCAGCAAACGTTGAAGAAGCAGCCTCTCCTGAACTAGATCTTCACAGCAGAGTAAGTTGTGCTCAACCTTGCAGAGGATATTCTTGAGAGCGCGTTCCCTGATCTCGGCCAGCTGATGACCTGTCGAAGGACAGCACAAAGCTATTTCCCAGCTCCGAAGAGACGCCCCCCCCCCCGGAATTCACCCTAAAACTTAGTTGATGCTGGGGGCGGGGGCAGGGTCAAGAAGGAAATAAACCAGTTTTTTTGTTTTTGTTTTGTTTTTAACAGGCGGGCCTCGGGTGCCCTCGGGACGCGAATCGCTGGGTTTACTCAGTCCGAGATGGATCCCCGGGGGCTGCCCTGGCGAGGCCAGGACGAAAGGGAGCCGTCTCAGGGTGGCCCGGCCTCCAAAACGTCACACAACCAGCCTTAGCAAGTGGCCACGACAGGACGGCGACGCGGGCGAGGGGCAACTCAGACTGTTACCGAGTTTCCTGATGAGCCCGGTCAAGACCATCTCGTCCCGCTCAATCAGCCGCCGCCGGAGAATTAAACTGCCGCGCCACAACGTCCGTGTACAATCAGTGTCCCCATGGAAACCCGGCCGGTCGGGCTGCGGGTTCCGCAAGGTCGGAGACAACCAGGGGACAAATAGGAAGCATCCAGGGAGCTGCTGCTGGGCCCCGCGCCTCCACAGAAGCTTAAAGTCTCTCTGTAATTACTACTACGCGGCTCCTAAACAGCAGTCTCTGTCGTAAGAACCGGAAAGAATGAGGAGACAAGCAGGGAGTAGAACCCGCCTTGGCCGCCGTGCACGTCGGGAGTTGTGGTCTTCGCTCCTCTGTGCTCCTCTCCCGGAATTCCGGACCCGCCGCTGCACCCACCCGCCGAGGGTTCCGGCGTCCCAGCGCGGGCTCCGGCGCGGGAGGCACGGGTCTGGCAAAGCCCAACCAGGCCCTGCAAAGTAGCCCTGGCTCTGCCAACCTGAATTCTTGGCTCCCGGAGCCTTACAATTTACAATACAGAGTTTGGATTCCCGCACTTCCACCAGCGCCCCCCCCACCCCCCGCCCCGCCGTTGGTAACTAAATTCACGTATCCTCTTTAATTGTAAAATGTACCTGCAAAGGCAAGCAGTGTCCTTGGACACCTAAGTTCTGTATAAACACCTGAGGAGGGACAAGGAGAACATAACTGAACAGAAGAGGGAAAAAAGAGGACTGTAGAAAGAAAAGAAAAAAAAAAAATGGGGAGGGGGCGGGGTAAGGGTGTGAATTGATATTTGAATGTCACCAAAGCTGGCATGGCACTGTGATTAGTCTGAACAAATAGGAAAAGAAAAAAGAAAAAAAAAATCTAAGCAATGGTAAGAGCAGCAACAAGATTAAATTTGTAAAGAGATTTGCATTTTAGAGAACATTTCTCTCACCAATGTTTTCAATTTCCCTAGGAGAAGGATGTCAAGGTACATATACCCATTCCTATTTTGCAAAAAAATGAACTTAAATTCATAGGAGTTCTTCATCCACAGTCACATCAACTACTTAAGTGGCAGATTGAGAGCCTGACCTAAATTTTCCTTGTGACATTCTTAGGACCTTGCTGCCCCTGCAAGGTGTGTAGGTAGGTTAGAGAGTGGTGATGTTAGACCCAGATCTGGAAGAATAAGTAGGAATTTGTCTGCCAGGCAAAGAAATGGGGTAAGGGAATTCCTGCCAGAGAGAACAGTTCAAGCAAAGGCAAGGATTCAGAATGAGTCCGTCAAGGTCAGGGAAAGAGAGAAATTCTAGGCGGCCAAATTACCTCTGGGAGGTGGACGGGGAGGTGACTAGCATGCTAGTTCTCCATTTGTCCCTCTGGCTTCCAGGTGGCTGTCGGGAATGGGAGACGGCGATAGGAAATTGGAGAGTGGGAGGAAAAAGAGGTGTGGATATTTAACTGATGCCCCACTAGCCCATACCTGAGCCTCCCTGGCCGAGATTGGTGACAGTGGCTACATTCTTCAACCCTAGGGTAAGAGCTTTTGATGGGTACTGTGCCAAAGGGACCAAAAAGTGGAAACAATTATACCAGCTGAGAAGTTTCTGTAGTTATCCAAGCATGAAAGCTTAGATTTGTGGATTTGAAGTATCAAAGTCAAAATACATATGACAGTACAGAAGAATAATGGAAATAACTTTAGAAAGATATTTCTAAGATGAAAAGTCTTAGATGATGAGAAACTGAGGATGTCAGTGGGGAAGGGTCAGTGATAATACTGTGGGAGAAAAATAAATTACAGTTGACTCTTGATCAACATGGGTTGGAATTGCACAGGTCCACTTACCCACAGATTTTTTTCAATAAATACAATACGGTACTCTAGATGTATTTTCTCTTCCTCGCGATTTTCTTAACATTTTCTTTACTGTGGCTTGCTATGTTGTAAGAATACAGTGTATGCTAAGTATAACCTACAAAATTTGTGCTAATCAACTATTATGGGGAAGGCTTCATGTCTACCCTAGACACTCGGTAGTTAAGTTTTAGGGAATCAAAAATTATATGTGGATTTTTGACTGCACAGGAGTCACTGCCCCAAAGGCCTGTGTTGTTCAGGGGTAAACTATAATGTAAAACAAGCATGTTTCAAGTTAAAAGGGGGGATCAAACTATAAAATGGTCTCTTTTTAAATGAGATATAATGAACACATAACATTATATCAGTTTCAGGTGTACAACATGATTTGATATTTGTATACACTGCAAGATGATCAACCACAGTATGCCTAGTTACCATCCATCAAAAGTGGTTTTGTTTATGTTGCTTTTATTTTCTAATTTTTTTTTTAATTTTTTTTCTTCTTTTTTTCAACGTTTTTTTTTTTAATTTATTTTTGGGACAGAGAGAGACAGAGCATGAACGGGGGAGGGGCAGAGAGAGAGGGAGACACAGAATCAGAAACAGGCTCCAGGCTCTGAGCCATCAGCCCAGAGCCCGACGCGGGGCTCGAACTCACGGACCGCGAGATCGTGACCTGGCTGAAGTCGGACGCTTAACCGACTGCGCCACCCAGGCGCCCCGAGTGTATATTGTTTTTATAATTAGACAAAAGTTATTAAGTCCTGCTTATTACATTCAAAGCAATTATGTGTCATTTTTCTATTAGACTAAGTACTGGTTTGCCAATTTTTCCTCGAAGAATCAATCTTCAATGTATTAATTCTGTTAAAGAGAATACCCAGATTCTAAGGTATTTACTGTACTTTTATTTATTATCACTTGCTTTTGTCACTCCTTTCTTAGGTTTGTTTTCTGGCTCCTTTTCTAACTTCTTGAACCAAAGGTTTCATTGCTTTGTTTTCATTCTTATTTAGCTGCAGATAATTCCATGAATCTACATCTAAGAAAAGTTTTAATCATATATCATGAATTTAGATTTATAATGTTCTAACTATGGTTATTCCTGACCATTCTGAAACTGCTATTTTCATACTTTCAATCTCACCCAAGATCTATTTAGAAGGAGGTTTTAATCAGGTCTCTCCTGCATACACTTTAGTTATTAATTTTTACTATTACTCAATCTCAATCAGCAACTTGGGCTTTTATAATTTTGAACATCGATGTAAATTTTCTATACAATGCCTGAGTACTTGAAACAATGAACCATATATGCCTGTGTGGATGTATGGAGAACTGTATGTATGGCTATTTGTAATTCTCTACTTGTGCTAACAACCGTGTTTGTTACATTAATTTAAATCCTAACTTACAATAAAAACGTGTGGCATTTTACCGGATGATAAATGGTAGTCATCCAGCTGGCAATGTATATATGGATCAGGAAAGGGATGAAGAGTAGAGACCTTGTATGTTGGAATCTGCTTATCATCACAAGCTATGCAACACAATGGAAAAAAAACATGGACCCAGAAGCGCATGGGTCCACTTAACTCTCAGCCATTCTTCAACCTTTTACCCATACCCATACATCACTAGCAGGCATGGCCTCAGTCTGCTTTACCCAATCATTTGGCTTTGGTGAAGATATTTATGCCCTAGGTCACAGGAAATATTCAGTTACTCTCCTAAGAGCTCATGATACTATTTGTGGTGATTTGTGCTAGGAGAAAAAGAAATGCTTTTTTTTTTTTTTCTTGGAAAAGTTGTGCACTTTTGTTTTTCCTCACAATGTGAACATGAATTCTAATACTTGGGTTATGTACAGTGGGTCTGTCAGTTGCGATCATATGCATTTCCTACCCTTTATTTCTCTTACCTGACTACATTAAAACATCTGGGGGTGCTTGGGTGCCTCAGTCTGCTGAGCATCTGACTTCAGTTCAGGTCATGATCTCAAGGTGCATGAGTTCAAGCCCCTCATCAGGTTTGCTGCTGTCAGCACGGGCCCGCTTCAGATCCTCTGTCCCCCACCCCACCTCTGTCCCTCCCCTACTCATGCTCTGTCTCAAAAATAAACATTTAAATTAAAATATCTGCCTCATATTCATATAAGCTAAACAGGGTCTTAAAACAAAGTATTATGTAGAGCACAAACCTTGGAACCAAACATAGGTTTGATGTTTATTTTATTTTGAGAGAGAGAGAGAGAGAGAGAGAGAGAGAGAGAGAGAGAGAGAATGCACATGCACAAGGTAGGGAAACAGAGAGAGAGAGGGAGGGAGACAGGGAATCCCAAGTAGGTTCCACACTGTCAGCACAGAGCCTGACGCAGGGCTTGAACTCAAGAATAGTGAGATCATAACCTGAGCTGAAACAGAGTCAGACGCTTAACCAACTGAACCACCCAGGTGCCCCCAGTCATAGGTTTAAAACCAGCTTTGCAACCTTCTTAGTTGCATGATTATGGGTGAGCTAATTAACTTTCCTGATTGCAAATGACAAAACTTTTACTCAAAGAAGTACGCAAAAA